CCCACGGCTGCTGCCGGGGAGGCAGCGCTCCCCGCCTCCCCCATCCCCTTTGGGGTGAGAATCACAAAATCCCAGAGCGGCCCAGGTTGGAAGCAACCACGAAAGATCATCTGGTCCAACCTCCTCCCCCTAGGTGAGCTCACCCGCCACCCCGCCCCCTCGCATCTCGAGAGCATCCAGTACCAGGGATGCCACCACATCCCTGGAGAGGTTGCTCTCCAGCAAACGATTGTTCCGGCTGTAAATTGTGCCTTTCCTACGCGGAGAAGCTAGGAGTTTCCCAGCGGCACTTACAGTTTGGTGCAGGTTCTTCTCCACGCTGGGTGGCACGTCATAGATCTCCTGCCCTGGGTCCTGCCCGTTGGGACCCTTCACTGCCATGGGGGGTGTGTCGTAGACCTGGATGGGGACACACACACACACACACAGAGGATGGTGTGTCAGCGATAGCACAAGCATCCACCTCCTCCCAAGGACCAGCTGGGAGGGATGAAGGCACCAAAAGAAGCCCCCAAGCCCATAACGTGCCCAGCTTTGGGTGTAATTTGCCCAGGTTTGGATTCCAGGCTGTGCCAGAGCATCTCCCGCGCTGGGGGACAGAGCAAGCGACCCCCCCCCCCTTCCTGACCAGTCTCACCTCTTGGCTAAACTGGCTTGGGACCCCTCCTCGGACGGGTGGCACGTCGTAGATCTCCTGGGAGCCCGCAGAGAGGAGGTGGCGAGGGAAATCGTACTCATCCTGCTCGCCCTTGGGGGAGTCATAGACGTACGCTTGCCCCACGCGGGTGGGCACCAGCACCTGGCAAGAGGGGAAAAGAGATGAGTTGGGCACCGCCGAGCATCCCCCCAACCCCATATCATCCCCCCCCCATCAAAACGCAACGATGGGGCTGGAAAGAGGATGGACAGCGGATTCTGGACCAGACCATCCGGCACTGGGCAAACCGGTGCCCACGGGAGGGCGCTCCCTGGCCGGGCGCGTACGCTTCTCACGGGTGACGCCGGGGACGAGGAGGAGGGGGGGGG